CATTGACTCACCACTGAAAGGATTGTTATAAAAATCTACACTTACTATGTCCCACTGTCAGCCATGCGTTTGGCAGACATCTTCCTCTGATGAAGGATTCTAAATCAACCTATATTTCAGAACAGTGGGATTACTTGCTGGTAAAAGAGAATGAGATCATTCAGTCATGTGATGAGAAAAGAAACTTTGTGAACTTGGGCTTTAGTAAGAGAATTTCTGCTTGGATAATTTATTTCAGATTTGCTATTGTTATTTTAGTGTATTTCCAATATGATGGGATGTAGTCTAAGTTATCACAATCTTGGTGAATGTGCCTCCTTTTTTATAAATTTGTACGTGATGTTAAAGTCCATGGTGATATAATAGACCTTCAGGAAAACAAATGTTTTAAATTGCCACTGAATGCCATTGAGGATTGTGTATCTTTGGCACGTATACTCATGTTTGCCTTACCATTAAAACCAAGTTCAATCCAGGAAAGTTTAAAGAAGCTGGCTTGCACAGACCTAAACTGTACCAGGGGCACCATAGACAACTAAGTTTTATTGGATTATCGGGTCTGGATCACTAAAATTACTTTTGGTCTCTGACCACAAATCTCCTTATAAAATTCCCAGTTGTCAGTTAAAATATGTGACTTCTGCAGAGGGTGGACTTACAAATAATCTTGCAGTTGGATTAAGTAGGCACTTATAAACTAGGCTAGGAATAATGTGTTCATTATTAATTAATGTGATTGTCCCCCTATCATATTAACTTATAAGTAGAAAGCTGTAGCTAGACACATGTGATTTCCCTGGTTAGACTCAAGAGATACACAGTTTTTGTGTTCTTGTCCATGGCAGGATTTTAAATAAAACACATTTTAATGATCCTAATAAGACTAAATTACTTATACTACTAAGCCCTGGGATTTAACAGAATAGCAATTACTACTGGACCCCCAGTGTTTAAAATAAGTGGACTAATGTGTGCTCCACCCCAGAAAGTGTTCCTTTTCTGAATACTCTCTGAATATATTAAAGTCAAATAAAATTATAACTGTGTAGTCTGTGTAGGAAACCATTTGTGAACTTAAGGCTTTGAGGTTTTTTCTTTTGGTTCTTGCTCCTGAATGCACTCCTTTAAACTAACTTGCTTTATCTAGATTGTTCTACTTACCTGTTGTATGTGTTATAGCAAGTCCCAACTGACTCTGTCTTAGCATTTGATTTTCCTGGTACTTAAAATGACAGCTTCCAAGTTCCAGTTTTTAACTCCAGTATCCATTCCCCTCTCTGTATGTATTTGTATAGTTATACATAGATTTCTTTTTTTCTACACAATAGGGAAGTTAATTATTGACCTCTGTTTCCCTAGAAGTTTGTGGAAGAATTGTTGGTTGGCAATCAAAGTAGCTTTTTATATATGGAAACTTTCTTTTATCTGTTTCCTATAGCTAGGTATATGCAAACATACAAACTGTATTTGAGCATTTTAACTACATTTTACTTTTCAATTTCCATGTGTAAGGGTATTTTATTATTCTTGTAGGTGAGCAAATTCGGAAGAAAAATTATTTCTTCAAAAAAATACGGGTGTACCAGGGGCTGAGAGGAGAGAGGAATGGGGAGTTATGGTCTAATGGGTACAAAGTTTCTGTTTCTGAATAATAAAACTTTTCTGGAAATAGTGGTGATGGTTATACAACATTTGAATGTAGTTAATGGCAATGAATTGTACACTTAAAAATAGTCAAAATGGTAAATTTTATGTTACCTATATTTTACAATTAAAAAAAATTGAAAGCCAAAAAAAAAAAGGAAAATATAATTATCTAAATACATTTCTCCTAATGAGTTGTGCTAGGTGGTAATGAAAATCTGGCTGTATCGTGATTGTTAATTTACATTCCTGATTTCACGAACCATGCCACACTGTTTCCTATACAATTCTGGGGATTAGAATACAGTGCAAAAATTTGATTAAAGAAAAAGGATGAACATAATACTTGCTTTATCTCCCCCACTTGCATGCTATTTTGAAGTTACAAAGCATTTTTACATACATCATCACATTTGATCCCCAAAAAATCCCTGTGAAGGAGATCATTATTCTCACTTCACAGATGAGAAGCCAGAGGTTCATGAGAGGTTAAGAGAGAGGCTGAGGTCTAAACCTCAGATTCTGGTCTTCAGTTGGAGCTCTTTGTTTACCATCTTATAACTTCTCTTTTGTAAAGCAAATCAGAGGAGCAATTCAGATCTGAATATTTGTATGATGTAATGTTTAACACATTTTCTTTTCAGCTGAACTTCTTTCTTTTGCAGTTTTAAATCAAGTGCATTTGAAGTGAGGCCTCCTATTGTTCTATATTACCCTGCCCCCTGCTAGAAACAAACCCTGCATCATAATGACAGGAAAAATTTAATTTAGTTTATTGATTTATGATTTCAACTCAGTCATACAGTATTATTGGGACACTTATTCCCTGCTTCTTATGTTTTCATGTGGAGGGACTTCAGCCAGACTGACTTTTTTTTAATAAGTCATCTTGATTTTTATATTAAAAAGTTTTAAAATTATAACAAATCTCAGTTTTAAGTAGAGGTGAAAAGGTTTGCTAAATAAAACACTAGTCCAGTAATGTAGTAAAGGAATAATATTTGTCAGAATAGGGATTATTTCAAAATGCAAATATGGTTTAATAGTGAAGTCTGATTTGTCACTCTTCTGCTCAAAATTCACCTGAATTGGCTTTTTCCTTGACTCAGGCAATTTCTTTTTGGTTCTCATTCTTCAAAATTAAAACTGATGCTGCAATGAGTATATAGATTGACTTTTCTGATCTCTCCCCACCTTCTTTCACTCTTTACCACTGATGAGAAGATGCATTTTCAGATAAGGGAGTTTGATAAGAGAAGCTGGTCCTAGCTGTCGAAGTGCCTTAGATGTTCTTCCCTTTGGATCAGCAGGTCTGTGGAGCTGGTGTTCCCTTTCCTCTTTAGATCATATGTGAACTTAACAGGCAGTCCTGCTCCTGAGGTGGGTGGGGATTGAATCAGCCCTGCTGGGCTGCCAGGCGGGGGTGGTTAATTCCCGTGTACAGTCTCACCAGACTCACTGGATCACACCTCTAACCAGCATCTTCTGTTTGCCTGGTTCCTGTATCTTCCCATCAGTTAGCTCTAAGCTTCCCAGAGGAAGAAGAATGTGACTGAATAGGTCCCTTCAAAATTCAGCATCCTCAGACCTGAAGATGAAAATACCCCTACTTTCCCAGGAACACATCTACTTTTATTTATCAAACTTTTATTTTATTTCCAATATTAATGTTCCAAATGTCAATCGATAAGTATACAGCTAAATTGTGATATATCCATACAATGGACTTCTAATCAGCAGCAAAAAAGAATGAACTACTGAAACACACAACCAGAGTGGATCTAAAATAATCATGCTGAATGAAAGAAGCCAGATAAGGAGTGCATACAATATGCGTCCATTTTTATAGAACTATACGAAATTCAAACTTATTTGTAGTGACAGAAAGCATATCAGTTGTGCCTGAGAATGGGGATGGGAGTGGGGTAGTGAATGGTGACAGACGGAGATTGCAATGAACATGAGGAAACTTTTGGGGGTGATGCATATGTTCGTTATCTTGTCGGTGGTAATGGTTTTACAGGTGTATACGTATGTCAAAACTAATCAGATGGTAAACTTTATGTTTAGTTTACTGAGTATCAATTTACCTCAGTAAAGCTACTTAAAAAACAAACAAACAAACGAACAAAAACTCAGCATCCTCAGACCTGAAGAGGAAAATGCCCCTCCCTTCCCAGGAATACAGCTAATTTTATTTATATCAAACCTTTATTTAATTTCTAATATTCTATGGTACAAGTTATGACAGTATTATTGGGCTAATAAAATTCATCTCCTTACTTTTTACTGTTTTATAAATATGATACTTTTCCCTTTTCTTAATGTTTTGTAAGAGAGTGATTATCTTAAAGTACATTTAGTGGAGTTTGTTCTTTTATTCTCTTAGCTGCTCTATAAAATATAAGCAGTCAGGCTCAATGTGTATATTATACGATGGCCTTGGAAGAATCTGAAAATATTGCAGCATTCCTACAGTATGACAGTTTAATAGCATTGCAACCAAACAGAATTTTCCACATAATTTGAGACACTAGTTTCCCAGAGAATTGAAAAGCATATCACATTTTTGTAATTTATATAAATGACTGTATAACTAATAAGAACCTGCTGTATAAAAACATAAAATTAAATTTAAAAAAATGACTGTATAATGCAAACCTTAATGATTCTTCTTAAGGAAAAAGTCTTTATTCACTTATAAATGTGATTAATATAATATATAATCTGATTAATCATAGATGAGATAATAGGCCCATTTGAAGAATTTCCATGAACAGAAAAGACGTACAGTTAAGTTTTTTCCAGAGTGAGAGAACCAAGATATTTGAACTGTAGGATTATAAACTGCTAGAACTGGAAAGAATATTGGGAACAACACACATTTCTTACCCCTCAAATGCTGGGAATGCAAGAAAGCAATCAGAATTCATCTCCTAGATCCAAGAAATTTAAGAGCATTATCCAAGGGTGCGTGACTACCAGCAAATCTTGGATGAGAATCACGAATCCTGCTCCAGCCCTCTCCTACTGGCCAGGTGTTAGGTTGCCTCATATTCAAAATAGTGAAGTGTAAATTTCAGCATAGTGTTGCCCTTAAAACAATCTATGAACAAATGTACCTTTTACATTTCTGTTTTCTTTCATCCCCTTTTAGGGAGAAAGAAGGCAATTGAGACTTCATTCTCAAATACCAAATACACTCCCGCATATTTCTCAGAAATGCATTTACATACATATGTGTACATATAGAAATTTTATAATTCTACGTTCTTTAATATTCCTCCCTTGATTTTCTTTTTGTTGAAGTAACCCATGATTAATCAACTTCTACCCCTTTTGCTTTTGCTTTATAGAATCTGTCTGTCCAACACGAATTCCAGTGGCAGCTCGTGATGAGAAGGGGTTTGATATTCTTTTAGGCTTGGGTGTAAAGAAAAAGGCTAAGAAACGAATTCAGCTTTCACCCACAAAGATAAAAGGATATGAAGTGACATCAAAAGTTGATTTATCAGAACTCACAAGGTGAATGTTATGTGTTGATACAGCGTTTTCTAGACATGTTGAGAATTCTTTAAGCTCATACATGTTCTTCTTTTTCCAGCAACGTTTTCCCAGAAGGTCTTCCTCCATCATATGTATTTGTCTCCACTCAGAGATTTAAGGTCAAGAAAGTGTGGGATTTATGGAGAATTTTAACCGTTGACGGAAGGCCACAAATAGCAGTCACCTTAAATGGAGTGGATAAAACTTTATTATTTACAACAACCAGCATCATTAATGGCTCACAACTGGTCAACTTTGCTGCCCCTCGTGTTAAGGTAAAGATGCTTGGGTATGATTATGGTATTCACGGAGAATGACCATCAGGTTTGTGTGTTTTGGGGGAGGAGAGCCATAATTTGAACCTGACTGAAAAAATATTGATTTCATATTTTAATTTTGCTTCATTGACTAAAAGGAACAAAGGAAGAATATTTGTTTCTTTTCTCATTGAAGTAGAGTTGATTTACAATGTGGTGTTCATTTCTGCTGTACAGAAAACTGATTCGGTTATACATATATATATATACGTATTCTTTTTCATATTCTTTTCCATTGTGGTTGATCACAGGATATTGAATACAGTTCCCTGTGCTATACGGTAGGACCTTGTTGTTTATCCATTCTATACATAATAGTTTGTATTTACTAATCCCAAACTCCCAGCCCATCCCTTTCCCACCCCCCTTTCCCCTTGGCAAGCACAGTTCTGTTCTCTGTGTCTGTGAGTCTGTTTCTGTTTCGTAGATAATTTCATTTGTGTCATATTTTAGATTCCACATATGAGTGATATCGTATGATATTTGTCCTTCTCTGTCTTATTTAGTTCACTTAGTATGATAATCTCTAGTTCCATCCATGTTGCTGCAAATGGCATTATTTTGTTCTTTTTTATGGCTGAGTAATAATTCTATTGTATATATGTACCACATCTTCTTTATCCATTCATCTGTCGATGGATATTTAGGTTGCATCCATGTCTCGGCTATTGTAAATAGTGCTGCTAGGAACATAGGGGTGCATGTATCTTTTTGAATTATAGATTTGTCCAGATATATGTCCAGGAGTGGGATTTCTGGATCATATATGGCAACTCTATTCTTAGTGAAAATTTGTTTTTTTTTTTTTTTTTTTTTTTTTTTTTTTTCCGTATGTGGGCCTCTCACTGTTGTGGCCTCTCCCATTGTGGAGCACAGGCTCCGGACGAGCAGGCTCAACGGCCATGGCTCCCGGGCCCAGCCGCTCCACAGCATGTGGGATCCTCCCAGACCGGGGCACGAACCCGTATCCCCTGCATCGGCAGGCGGACTCTCAACCACTGCGCCACCAGGGAAGCCCCTGAAAATTTGTTTTTTAATTCATATGAGATTAAGGGGTGCAGGAACTAACATTTTTGAGTGCCTGCTTCTAGATGCCAGGAACATTTAATTATAATAATCACCCAAGGAAGAAGCTATTGCTCTTATTTTAAAGATAAAATACCAAAGTTCAAGGATATTAAGTTCTCTTTCCAAGTAACATGGCTAGTAAGTGGTGACATCAGGAATTTAATTTAGGTCTGGTCACTTTCAAAGTCTGTGTTTGTCTATTTTGTACTGCCACGTCCTACAGGATATTGGGATAAATTCATATTTGTCAGAACATTAAATACAGGTAGGAAATATGTACAGAATTCACATTTATTTGGAGGACAGTTTATATTCCCAAAAGGAGCATATATTTAATAAAATTCATAAACTAAAAGTGTATTTTTCAAGTCAGATGTGTTCAGAATATAGATGCCATGATAAAATCAACTCCATTTTGATTATTTCTGTAATTATGATAGTCAAATTGTACATTATATAATTTAGGAAATATACAAGGCTGTACATGAAATTATGCATTTATCCAATTTCTTCGTTTGGTAAGCAGAATAAATTTTTAAAAAAATTGTTGTCTACCATTTTCATTAAAAGCAATGTGCTAGGTTCTGTAAGAAATGACAAATGAATAAGGCATGTTTCTAATCTTCAAGGAATTTATTTATAATGGGATATTCAGTGCTTCTGGTATCTAATAGAAGTACGAAAAGTTAGTGGACTGTGGAAGGAAAAGTGGATTCTAATACAAAATGTGGGCCAGTCTTCATAAATGAGATGGATTTTGGAATGTAGGATGAAGAATGTACAGGATTTTGTTGGAGAGAGAGAAGGACATGGAAGTCAATGGTTCATTATTGAGTAGTCATGTGTGGTGAAATGCAGGGTTTTTATTTATAGAATAGAACATGGTGCCCCCTGTGTTTGGAGTATAAGATACATGAGAGCAAAAGCTAGAAAGGTATAAGTTCAGTTTGCATGGACGTGGGAACTGTACAAAGGGTTTTGCATTTCAATCAGTGGATGACGGGATTCCATCAAAAGGTCTTGATCACAGGCGTGTCATGGTCAAAGTAGCTCTCTCCTCTCCTTCTTTGCCTTCTTCTTTCGTAGAATACTTTTGACTCTTTCCTGGAATTGGGCTAGGTCCTAGGAATACAGAAATTAATAATATTAATTCTAGTAGAGGTAAGAAGGTTGGCTTGGAGAGGGAAGGGATAGGGATTGAGATGTGTTTGAAAATTATTCAAATAAAGCAAGACATCTATGAGCCTAAATTATGGCAATGAGAATGGCAATGGAGAAGTGAATTTGAGTCGTGTTTAAGACACATCCTTTGTAGAATTTTGCATCTATTTGTTATGGCAACTGAGGGAAGGGGAAGAGGTAAAGGCACTTGTATGGTTTAGAAACTGAGGATACTATTATCCCAGGGAAATCAGGAGAGGAAGAAAGTTTGGGGGATAGTTCAAGTTCATTTTGTTATATACTCTGTCAGACTGATTGTGAAACTCCTGGCAAAATTATTCTAGCCAATGTTAGAATTATAGGTACCATATGTGAGAAAGAGGTCCAGGCTGTCAATGTGGATATGGGAGATATTCCATAAAAGTTATAACTGAACTGTTGGAATGAATGAGATCATCAAGGGGAGAATGGAAAAGGTCAAGGACAGACCTGTGGGGAATGCCCTCATTAAAAGGCAGGTTGAGGAAGATGAACCCTCAAAGAGATAGAGAATGGACAGTTGTAGAAGAAGGAATGAAGGTGATCAAGATGGTTTGAATCACGGAAGCTGAGTGAGACCATCAATGCGGATGGACTAGTTACAGGGTCCACAGTTGCCATGAAGTAAATAAAATGAGGAAATGAAAGAAGCCACTTGGATTGGGACATTAGGAACTTATCTGTGACCTTGAGGGAGTTGTTTCAGTAAATACTTTGGTACAGCCACTTTGGGATGTGAAATGGAAATGCAGCTAGGGATTAAAATAATTGCTGGGGGGCCTTTGAGACCCAGCTTGGGTCAGGGTGAGTTAGAATATGATACGATCAATCTGGGTGGTGTGGATTTACACTTGATGACAACAGAATAGAAACAAAGAAACGAAAAGATTGTTCGGAACTCTGTTTATGAATCTGCTGTATTTTCTCCCTACAGACATTATTTGATGAAGGCTGGCATCAGATTCGTCTCTTAGTAACCGAACAAGATGTAACTCTGTATATTGATGATCAACAAATTGAAAGCAAGCCCTTACATCCAGTTTTAGGGATGTTCATCAGTGGGCAAACCCAAATTGGAAAATACTCTGGGAAAGAAGAAACCGTTCAGGTGGATAAAAATGATCTGCTTTTCGTATTATATAAAATGGCGCTTTGGTGATAGTATTTATTCCATTTAACTGTATTTAACTTAATTCCTTTAAGAGACAATGAAAATGTGGTCAGTTCATTAGTGAAATTGTGTGCTTGTGTGTGTGTATTAAAATGAAAAATCAAACTTAATATAATAATTCTTAGAAATTTGTTCCCCTAGGTGCAGGGTAGAATTCTATGTTCTTATGGACCATCAATTTCATATTTCCCAGGAGAAGCATAGAATATATCATGAATTTGGGAAAGGATTACAGCTGTGATTGGGGGTTGTAAAAATTTCTTTGCAGCTGTGAGGATAAAATTAGATTAATGCATGTCAGTTTTCTTCATAAACAAAACGGTGACTTTTTTGGTATCTCTTTAAACTCGAGTATCTGTGTGTGGGTTGAGAAGTGTGTATGTAAAAGATAGCCATTTCTTGAAAAATCCTTTATTTGAAAAGGTATGTCTTTCCTACTCTGTTTCTATTAAGGGAAGACTGTGTCATATTCAAATGTAGGATTACACATATGGTCTCTATGTATTAGTGTCACACGTCAAATTGTAGTAAATATTTAAATAGTGACAGGTGCTGGGTTTACTCATCACACAATACTCCGTGCCAAGAACTAAATCTCTGAAACTAAAGATGGTTTCTTGACCCAACTCTGTGCAATCAGGGATGTGAAGAGATGTAGGGTAAACACAGAAAGCCTGGGAAAGCTTTTAAGTTGTCTAGGAAATGCTGTCTAGATGAGCTCTTAATAGAAGGATACTACAAAAGCTCCACTGGGTTTCCCAAAGAAGTCAGAGGTTTGTTTTTGGTGCTAGGGAAGTTTTTCTTAGGAGTTTTGTTGTGTCACATCTTTATATTATATGTTAAGTATTTAAATTTTGTATGTTTATTGCTTATTGTATTTTTATTGTTAACGAAGCTAAGTGTTTCGATCTATATCTTACACGACTGCTAACTACACTGGCTGCTTCTGTGTATGTGAGTTGCTTTTATAAAACAACTTGCTTGGGCCTCAACTTTAACTTGATTGGTTTTATGTTTCTAGTTTGATGTCCAAAAGTTACGAATCTACTGTGACCCAGAGCAGAACAACCGGGAGACAGCATGTGAGATTCCTGGATTTGTGAGTAGGATGGATTATATTTTCCTAAGTGTTGCTTCAGTACTTTCAAAGCAAGAAATAAAACGCAGATAATATACGAGCTTTAATTTAACATATAGAGTTAATTTGTTTCTTCATTGTCAATGCAAATAAAATGACACTGAGGTTCATAATTGAAATAAAATTATAATGTGTACAAGTGTAAATGGAGGACCACGGGAAATATTTTCTCATCTTAGATTGATTGTTCCACTAATCAAGTGAAGCAGGGATAGACCTGCTCTAGAAAAACAGAATTCGTTGTCTGAATGTCCAGTAAGTAAAATACATTTCTATACTTTATTAAATGTGTGGGTGAAATACCTCACGTGGCACAATTCTGAAGAGTGGAAAATTATTCATTTTCCTGTTTACTAGCACGTTTTCTCAAACCATAATGAGTATAAATTTTTCTTTCTGTTGTTGTTGCCACCCAAGTAGGATTTTCTTATAATTCTAGGATATAAGCAACTTTCTATTTATTTAACTATTTTCATTAATGCGTTAGGAAGAAAAAGATTATAAGCTAAAATGTTATAGAGTCTGATCATATACGTGTGTGAGTGTGTGTGTGTGTGTGTGTGTGTGTGTGTGTGAGATCAATCCCTTTTCCCCTGGGCAAGGAACAGTATATTGTTGCTCGTGAAAATAAGGTAAAATGTTGTAAAACTTTTTGACAATGTGGATTTCCAGTCATATTTGAGCCCTACGTAGTTCTTTTCATTTGTATAGTCATGCTGTCATCATTTTCTTATTTCCTATCAAACTGAATAAATTATGGATCCATATCCTGAAAATTTGAGGACATAGAGCAGCACATTTGAAGGATTTGTAATAAAATCAAAGATGGAAGCTTCTAGAAATGATTCATTCTGGATTTTCTACTTTAAGTAGTAGTTTAAACACTGTAACTTTTATATACTTATAATTTGGAATATAAATCTCTTTTGTTTAAACACTGTAATGTTTATTTAAGATACTTATAACTTGGAATATAAATCTCTCCTAAAAGCATTAAGAAGTTATTTCATTTTGAGAGTCCGTTGTACATACTTGATTTATTGCTATTTCTCCATTGATGTTGTGCCATGACTATGACCCCCCATATAATAGAAGCATAGGGTGAGATTGTAGATTCTGTGTTCTCACATCCACTTTTCTGTGTTTTTATGGCTCCTTCCTCACTCTCAGGTATGACTTTTTCAGGCTTGTTTACCCTTTTCATCTTCTGTCTCACCTTCTCATTTTCTGATCTAATCTGTTATTGTTTGGAAAGATTATTAACCTATTTTAAAATTGTGCGTCATTCAGTAAGAAATAGATTGCTTAGTAAATTGCATAAAATTGAATGAATGCATGCAGGGGCTTCGCTGGTGGCGCAGTGGTTGAGAGTCCACCTGTGCCCCGGTCTGGGAAGATCCCACATGCCCCGGAGCGGCTGGGCCCGTGAGCCATGGCCGCTGAGCGTGCGCGTCTGGAGCCTGTGCTCCGCAACGGGAGAGGCCACAACAGTGAGAGGCCCGCTTACCGCAAAAAAAAAAAAAAAAGAAAAATTAAATGCATGCAGTTTGCAACTTGCTTAGATGTGTTTTGGCTTTTTCTCTAGTTCTTAAGTGATTCCCAGAAAGTTCAAGAGAGCGTATAAACCCCACCTTGAGGTATTTTTGTTCCTGTGTGGCCGTTATACCAAGCACACTCTCCATCATTGCTAATTTCCTTCCTTTATCCTATTATAAATGTGGGAATAGCATAAGTAGCTAATTTTTTAGGATCGTTGCAAGCAAATGTTTTAGCTCTTGCTGGTTTTGATACTTCATTTATCTCTGCCCTGGACAAGGAAATATCTGTAAATTAGGAAGATAATTTAGAAATTTAATTAGAAACATGTCTTAAAACACATTTGTCGTTGTTTTTCTTTCAGAACGGTGAGGTAGGCCTGGATACTATTATTCTCCTTAAGGTAATATTTGCATTGCGGGACTGTTTAGCTTCCTTCCAACAATTGTAAGTATGTTAGATAAATATAACTCATTTTTATGTAGTTTGAATGTATCTAGTATTCATAGCTTTTTTGTGATTCTGAATTTCTTATTGGATTGGGCTAAATAAAATTGGACAGTAAACATAAGATATCTTTACCATTGCACACACACATACAGACATACACAGGCATATGTGCACATATGTATGTGTCTTGCCGTGTGCCTTTATCTCCATTTTTGTCTTTTAGTGCTTCAATGGTCCCAGTGATGTTGGTTCAACGGCAGCTCCCTGTATTTGTCCTCCAGGAAAACCAGGACTACAAGGCCCCAAAGTGAGTAATACCTAGCATGCTACTTTTGATAAAACACACAAAATAAGAGCTGAGTAGACACCAAATTCCTAATCACCATTGACTCTGTTGTGAAATTTCTGCCTAATACCTTAGAATAGTTTAAATGTGAATTTTAGTGATTTTTTTAAAAAAGTGATTCTAATCTGTAATTGCCTTTGAACCTAAAACTGATACTACGTAAAGTGAGGGAGTGTTATTAGTTTGTTTGCTTGTTTGTCTGTTTGTTTTTTCCCCTAATACCACTACTGTATCCCAAGAATGATACCTCCTTACAACCTGGTAAAAAATGAAGAAAGGTCATTTGTTAAAATACGTTCTAAATTCTTAAATGTCTAAATGCTTATTCTGTCAAAATGATTTTCAGATAGAAAAATGAAGTAAAAAATTTAAAGTTGGTTTGAATGTTGTGTTTGATGTCCAATTGTAAAAAGAGAGGCAAGTGTGTGCATGTGTATTTATTTATTTTACTTAATCAAGTAATAATTACTTTTAGTCATATTCATACATGCATATCTCCCAGTTACATTTGCATATTTATTTGTGTATCTGTATATATATTGTTTGTGTGTATATGTGTTATTTGTGTGTGTATATATATGAAAACTTACATATTCATCTGTGTACACATTTGTATATGATTGGAACCATGATGTGCATACGATTTTATAACTAGTCACTTTTTAACATAACAAATACTCTGAATATGTTTCTGTGTTATTAAATATGAATGACTAAATTTTTTAAAGTAAGTTGATACTAATCTTGGCATCACTTAGACACAGCCTAAGATACTGAGATGTCAAGTGGTTTGTCCACTATAGGTAAGTCTTATTTATTTAATATTATTTAAAAATATCATCTAGATAAAAATAATGTCTAACTTGAAAGCAAGTATGACTTCCTAGCCAGAAAGAATGTTTCGTGTGTTGCTCATCTGTTACTTGAAGTGACCATAATAAATTCTGTTAAATATGAGTTGTAATGTTCATTTAGATGGAATTTTCTGAGAGTTTTAATCATCACAACTAAAAATTTTCGGTTTTTAGACTGGTAATCTGAGAGTCGGATTCTTCCTAACTTTTGTGCATGTTTCCCCAACTATTTTCAGGTGATAGTTCATAACCTACTTCAAACCTAGCTGTTAAAATCAAGAAAGAAATGCAATTTAAGAATTAAAAGAATGGCATTTACCTGGTGGTCCACTGGTTGAGACTTCGCCTTCCAATACGGGGGTGTAGGTTTGATACCTGGTTGGGGAGCTAAGATTGCACATGCCTTGGGGTCAAAAAACCAAAAACATAAAGCAGAAGCAATATTGTAACAAATTCAATAAAAACTTCAAAAAAAAATGGTCCACATCAAAAAACAAATCTTAAAAAAAAAGAAATAAAAGAATACATTAAATACTTCATTCAAAGTAAATCTGTTTGGCTTGGAACTTGACTTCATTCCATTATAATCAATTTACTATTGTGAACAATTTTTAGATTGCCTTTAGGAAAGTTAATCCAAGTGTTCTTCTATTAAAGTAACCATGTTATTTAGGATGCCTGATACAAAGGAAGAATACCTATAAGATGTTTCTGGGAGCATTTACCTTGCAAGGCAGCATGGTGTGACCTACCAGCAGCCTATCTTTTGAAACATAGTTATACAGCTTATTCAACTTGGGTTGTTATACATAGAAATGATTTGATCTGCAGGAGATCAGAGTCCTATGACATCTGACTTCTCTAAGCCCAGAGGACCTTCCAGCCCCTCAGGCCACCCCCAGGGGCTCTAAGGGGCTGCCCACTTCCGCATGTGGGGCACCTGATGCCTCTCATGTTTCCTGATTCATCATTAGTGGTCCATTAGGCATCTTGAAGTGACACCAATTTTTATGCCTGTATGTTTCTATAGCAAATTTTTAGCACACCCTTTGTCTTATCTGGGAAAGCCTCTGCTTTTCAGTATTTCCAAGTTTCATGTGTTCCTCATTTTCATTCTCTTTTCTTAGTCATCATCTAGCCCCACTGCCACCTACTACTTAAAGTGAAATTGCAGTTTTCCACAGATCTTCAAGTTGGCGTGCCTTCTTAATCTGCTTTCCATTTTCTTCAGAAAATCTGGCAGGAGGACAGGACACACACACACTCTTCCATCCTTTTAGGGCTCTTTCCCCTGGAGGTGGTTCCTTACCCACATTGGAGACCTGCATGTGAAAAACAGAATCCCTAGCAACACCCTGAGTTGTTCTTCCTTTAGAGAATTTCTGGCCTGGGAAATGGATAGAGTTTTAATTAGTTCAACAGAATCAGAACTAAAACAGATGAATGGATTTTACTATAGATCCAACTGAGACGTATTGGCTGTTTTTGTGAGATGCTCTCTGGAAAGTTTTACAGATTTCCATCAAGCAGACTTACCTGTGCAGGAGAATTTAGTCTTCCCATTAGCCAGAAATCGTGTTCTCGGAGCTGAGAGTTTGGTCATGAAACTGAAACAGAGGAGAAATTTGTGTGTGGATAGGTGGGTAAGTGCTTATTCCAAGATAAAGTCGGTCATCTGCTTCAAGTGCTCTCAATTTCCAACAAATATGACATGCCTATTGCAAAACCAGGTTAAATTAACTAAGGTATCCCATACTTGGACTTTTCATGGCATTATAAGTCTTTAATATGCATAGAAAAATATCTTTGTCACGGGCCTGTGAGCCCCTCTATGAGGCTGGCTTATTTATTCTGTGTCCTTAATGTCAAAGGGAGTGATTAAATTAATGACTCTCTGGGAATGATTTTTATATGCAAACACTTCACAACGAAGGTTAATACAAACTAAATTCTCCTTTGGAATTCCACTGTCTAGAACAGTGCTTAATAATAATATATTTTTTATTTAAAAAATTATGAAATCATTGAAAAAATAAGGTTCACTCCTCCTCCTGATTAACCTGTGTGGAATACCTTTGTTCTATGTGAAAGATCCAGGCAATCCCCAATTTACAAACAGCTCCCTTCCAAAAGACCTATCCATGCAAATGGCAGCTTCTCCCACTTCATAGCTGGAGGAACATTTATGGGGACAAACTCCCCACACTTGATCTAATCTTAAATGTTAGATCTATGAGTGCAGAAGTGGAAAGAAAGCATATTTTTCCCCTTTTTTAGGAAGGAGCAATTTCTTAATAACTTATTTTCTCTGAAATACCATTCTTTCTACAACTATATTGATGACCTTTGTTTCACTCTGATAATTCTTCTGATTAGAGACTCCTTTGGATTATCAAAGTAGCCTCTGTCTAAAATACAAAAGCCTTTGGAAAATTTCAGGAGCCATTGGGCATTCACATTTTTATGTTAATTTTCCCAGACTAAGTGGATTCCTTCTAGCTGAAGAGAATGTTTGAGTTTTGAGGGAGGGGAGAGGTTGGTTTTGGAGAAAGGAATAGGTGTTAGGTGAGATACTTTTGTGGAGGCCAGTAGTTAGTCTGAAGGCACAAGCGTTTTGAGAAGAGAGCTTGAAAACATGGGATTTGGACCTAAGAGATATTTGTTTTAGGTGAGCAACTTAAAATATTAGCTTACTTTTGCAAGCATTACTGTTTCTCACTTTAATTATTCGTATTTGCACACTTGCAAGGCCATGTGCAGGGATGTTTTAACTTAGTCCATGATGTTTCCATTCCTGTCAGCAACTCAGAAATCCTGTGGCACAAAATCAATTCATCATAAGTAAGAATTGCTTTTCAGCTGAATACTTATTTTTTTAAATTGCAAATGTTTCAGCTAAATTAGAAGAAAGCAGGTTGAGAATTTAGTCACAGTTATATAATTATAGGTCATATGTCTAATTTGATGTATTTGGAAAATTTTGTCCATGTTAAATTTGCTAGCTCTCCCTGGGTTGGGTTCTGATCAGTGTATGCATTTTGATGTGGGCAGAGAGAGCAGTGTTTAGGAGCATAGAGTCTGGAGCTGAATTGACTGAGTTCCCATCTCTACTGCTGCTTTGTGACCTTGGGCAAGTTACCTAACCTTCCTGGGTCTCAGTTTTCTTATATGTAAAATGGGAGCAGTAAAATTACCTCTTCGTGGGGTTATTGTGAGGATTAAGTAATTTAATACATGTAAATCTCTTAGAGCAGTGCTTAGCTTATAATAAACAGTCAGTAAAGGTTGGTTTCATTACAGTAATAAAATTGAATTTTTATTCTAATTGGGCTTCTCTTCGAAAATCAGTTAGGGTTTTACTTTATTCTTCCAACAACAGCAAACCTACCCGAGTTTTTGCAAATAAACCAGTAGGACAATAGTCAAAATAACCAGTAAAACCTACTAGAAATAATAGAACATGCAGAAGAGATTATTTTCCATCTTGGGGCTGTTGACCTGTGCCTTAAGAAGTCACACTGGATTTATCTTGTGGGTGATTTTTTTTCCCTTGGAAACTTAGTTTTGATTCATTTAAGATATTATTGTTAAGTATATTTTGTACTTTATGCAGCATAAAAACACAAATCCTGTTTCTTCTCATGCCAAAGTTTTATTTCAGCCTCATCATCGTAGAAGTTAAAGCCTCTCAGATCCTTTTGATGTCCTAGATTTTGCTGATAATTAATATTCTGCAAGTAAAGAGGTCATTAACAGGAGATTGGATCTGATTGGAAATAGTCAGCGAATAGTTATTGAACTTCTACTTGGTACCCAGCATTGCTCAAAAAAGGAGAAAATATTGACCATGTTTGCAAGGAGTCTCAATCCAAATGATAAATGAAGACCCATCAAGGGAAAATTTTGAGAAAACTCTTGTTATGAATAAATGATCAGTGATAGGGGAGCTGCTGTAGCATTTCAGTAGAAAAAGACATCAGGAGAAAATGCAGTAACAAGGAAGGTGCAGTGATTGGAAATTTTGTTATATTAACTCAAATGGAAAAGGAAGAGTCTTCCCAGGAGTTAAAAAAAAGATCGAATCTGTTGAAAGGCAGTGAGGCCAATCTGAACATGGTTAAATAAAGATGGCAGGGAGGCCAGAGATTAGTGTGGAACCTCTCAAAATAAGAAGAAAAAAAATCTAACACCCTAGGGGCTTCCCTGGTGGCGCAGTGGTTGAGAGTCCGCCTGCCGATGCAGGGGACACGGGTTTGTGCCCCGGTCCGGGAAGATCCCGCATGCCGCGGAGCTGCTGGGCCCGTGAGCCATGGCCGCTGAGCCTGCGCGTCCAGAGCCTGTGCTCCGCAACGGGAGAGGCCACAAACAGTGCAAGGCCCGCGTACCGCAAAGAAAAAAAAAAAAAAAATCTAACACCCTAGAGAACAGGAATGCTGCTCCCTTAATGTCCAGCTGACACTGGGTGTCTTTGGATTAGAATTACAAATTGTACCTCTTCAGCAAGAAATTACATGTTCCTGTGTTATTTTTCTCCCTGGATTTACAGCTATTCTTTTTCGATCTCTTTTAAAAATGGCATTTCCCTTCTTCTCAGCCTTTCCACAAACTAAACCTCTTGGGCAATCGTAGGTGAAAAACCCATCCTTTCTTCATTGGTTCCTTGATAGAGTTCACACAGTTCTTTCCATTTTTCCTGTTATGTTTCAGGAACAAACCTCCCTCGCCAGTAGCCTGAAGTAGAATTTCAGATCAGCATATTTGGCTCTGTGCAAGTACCCTTAGCACTGGTGTTTAGTTAATGTATAATCACTGTGGTATGTGTGAATGATTTCTTGATGTAGATATGAAGCACTGTTGAATTGAAATCAGTTGTCTGTCTGTAGTAGTTTACCAATACTGATGGCCGAGACGTGATGTTTTTAGGGGAGATACCTCATGGACTCCATAATACATGGATATGAAATTATTATTATTATTACTACTACTATTATTATTATTATTTTGGCTACACCCTGTAGCTTGTGGGATCTTAGTTCCCCAACCAGGGATCAAACCTGTACCCTCGGCAGTGAAAGCACAGAATCCTAACCACTGGACCACCAGGGAATTCCCTCATATTATTTTTTGAAGTATTTCTTAGAATTAAATTATAAAACACCCTCACTTCACAAAAAATGTTGCTTTCATTGCCTTTTTTCATGGGTGGTGACCATCTGACTGGTCACTACTGACTGTAAGGCCTGGGCTTGTTGCCAGGCTGTATGGAATAATGTTCCTTGAAGGTCTCTGGTTTGTGAGGACAAAGGTCCTTTTTTAGGTGTGAAATGTACTCAGGGACTCTGGGGGTTGTGCAGAGTTCTTTGGCTTGGGCCTCACTTTCATGAAAATATTCAAATCTAGAAGTTTATCATTATGTTAAAATGAGATTATAAATATAGGCAGAGACACACTGACTGGACTGAAAGAAATAACTGTTGTGCAGCTGTAAACTTGAGTCCCACATGGAAGATCACATAGCCTATGGGCTGTTTTTTTAAAAAATACTTTTTTTTAAGGTGGAAACTATTCTTGTTTTTTATTGAAGTATAGCTGATTTATAATTTTGTGTTAATTACTGCTGTACAGCAAACTGTGAAACATATATATATATATATATATATATATATATATACACACACACATATATATACACATTCTTATTCATAGTCTTTTCCATTATGGTTTATCACAGGATATTGAATACAGTTCCCTGTGCTATACAGTAGGACCTTGTCGTTTATCCATTCTATATCTAATAGTTTGCTCCTGCTAATTCCAAACTCCCAATCCATCCCTCCCCCACCCCCCTTCCCCTTGGCAACCACAAGTCTGTCCTCTGTCTATATCTGTGAGTCTGTTCCTGTTTCATAGATAAGTTCATTGGTGTCATATTTTAGATTCCACCTGTAAGCAATATCATATTAAAAAATAATTATCAATTGAATTATTATATCATAGGTCATGGACATCTGTAGTATAACATCTAGAAAAGAATTAAATCTATAGATTTCTGAATGAAATACTACTGTCATTGAAACCATAGTTGTTCTGACATTGCACAGTTTGTTCAGAGTTCTAAAAATATCTCTTGCTATAAATACTGATGTTTTACATCAGTGAAAACTACTTTCCTTGTTATACCTGTTGTGCTCACAGAATTAAATCCCTGAAAGTTTTACATAATAAAAAGCCTTTAATTTTTAAGGTAGATGTGATATCATTTTTCTAACCCTATTTTGGGATTTCCATCTTTGTTTATTTTTTGTTTGTTTGTTTTTCAATATACAAAAAGCTGCAAATAATGGAATTGGCTTTGAACCTTGATGGGCTCTGGCTGAATCAGTGTGGTTGGTTGTTTTGGACTGAGAACTTTTTTTCCTCTCTAGGGTGACCCTGGACAGCCTGGGAACCCTGGATACCCTGGACAACCTGGTCAAGATGGTAAGCCTGTGAGTACTGAAAGCTTAGTCATCTCCAGTACTGGGATTATAGGGTCAATGTAACATTGCACTGGGCGAAATTCAACAGGCAGGGAAGACTTTACTCAAGACTATTGTAATAGAGGAGAGAGGCTCAACTCCACACAGCTGAAACAGGGGGAGGGAGGGCTCCTGAGCTGGGAGAAAAGTACTGGAGGACTTTGAGGGGAGATTGATCAATGGGATGAGCAAATGGAGTTATTCCTGAGCATGGCAAACGTCTTCCTCAAGGTTAGACCATCTGTGTTTGCTACTTGGCACCTGTCCAAGTTAGGGCCATCTCCTCTGTTTCCTTAATGGGTGTTGGGGTGCTGTTTCCTTAATGGTTCCATTTCAACGGGATGGCTCTCAGGTCCTGGCGAAAGACCTGGGTTGTAAAACTGGCAAGAAGCTTTTAAAAAGATTTACATCTCAAAGGGGCAGATAAAGAATTTACTGTTGATTTTCAGTTTTCTAAAGTAAATGCTGTAGGAAAAGGGAAATCAGGGGTGTAGACTTGGGAGGAAGGCCGCTAAAGTTTAGTCAAGCTGAGGGCCACATTAAGGCTAGCTTGGTCAATAGGAGTGTTCTAGTCTCCTTTTAGGTATCTTCACAACTGCATACATCTTTGCTACATTAAAAAATTGCCCAGTGAGTTCTCAATATCAATGAATATATGGGCTCAGAAATCCTTTTATTTTTCCCCCTTCGTGCCTCAAAGTTTTCAAGTTAAAGATCTTTCTAAAGGTGATGTTATTTTCCTCAGAATATATGCACTGGAGTATACTTATAATCTGACTTAAACAAATATCCTCTAAGTTTCAAGAGAATTTTAGGGATATTTATGAATTAAGGAAACATAAAGCCAAACCACTTTAAAGCAACTTAGGCAAATTTTTACAGGTAAGTCAGCATGTTTATCACAGTAAATAAACATGAGGTAATAGCTTTTGAATGTTAAATAATTGTCGCCAAAAAAAAGTATCTCCTGGGAGACTTTATCACAAGATGTTAACTCTTTCCATGAAGCATGGGAAGGTTTATACTGTGCGTCAATAATTTTCAAGGCACGAAAGAACCACAGGCCTCATGTTAAACCACCAACACCCCAACCATCAGGATAGAAGGGAGCTTGTTCAGTCCCTGAGAGAGGTTTGCTGACAAATTTAATACAAAAAATGCAGCCAACTTTCAAAGTGGCAGTGTGCTGGCACCTTTCACACCCGTGTTGCATGGAAAAGGGGTTAAATATACAGGTGAGCCTCTCTGAGAGAGATGTCAAAGAAAGGAGTCTGAAGAGGTGACAAAGTGGTGGCCAGCTTGGAGCTGAAGCGCTGCCAGGAGATGGGGGTGGTGCTGTTGAGCCGACTCAGTGGGATTCACTCCAAGTGTGATGGATCCATGCGGGGGCCTGCAGAAAGGAAGTGACGTGGTCTGACTTACTATTTAGAAAGATAAATATGAATATTCTGTGGACAGCAGATTATATGTGTCAACTGAAAAAATGCACAACCTAAAAGTTGAGAAATATGTTTTATTCGGCGGACTTTCTGAGGACTTCAAGCCTGGAAGGCAGCCTCTCAGAGAGCTCTAAGGGACTGCTCAGAAGAGGTGAGGGAGGGGCCAGGATATAGAGGGGTTTTTGCAACAAAGGTCAGGGAGTCCAAACATCAAAAGATTACCGTTCATTAAGAAGACCAGACATCTCAAGTTAAGGGATTTAGTGCTTTTCTATGCATGGGAAGATGCAAGAGTCCAGGCTCATTGAAATCATTCCTTTGATATGCACCTCAGCTGTCTGGGGCCAGTGTCCTGTGTTTTCTCATCCTGAGTCCCCTCAGGGTACATCATTGGGGGCGGCTGCAGTGGCTGAGGGCTTGATGGTGGACATCCTGTCTCCATCCTGAGTTGCTTCAGGGATTACAGTCTGGGTGGCTGTAATGTGACGGCTTGATGGCTGCAATATCCTTTGTTTACTGACATGGCAGGTGGCATTTTTCATTCACATGGGGCAAGAGTGGGGGCAGAGGCCATGGAGGAGGTTATTTCAACATTCTGAGTGAGAAGTAAGGGTGGCCTGGATTAGGGCGATGTGCTGGAAGAGAGGAGAAGTGGTCAGAGTCTGGAGTATTTTTTAATGTGAAGCTGAGAAGAATCCCTGTCAAGTTAGATGTGAGGGCATGAGAGAAAGTGCCAAGGAAGCCTCAGAGGATCTTAGCTTGGGCAGCCGGGTGAATTGTGGTGCCATTTCCCGAGCTGGGTGACACTGGCAGAGATGTAAGTTTTTGGGGGAGACATCGAGAATGCATTTGTGGACCTGCTGAAGGTGTCTCCTAGGATATTAGAAACAGGAATCTTGAGTCAGGAATGTGTTGGAGAATGAAAACACACAGTTAGGACTCTGTAGCATGTGGATGTATCTAAGCCTGCCAGAGCCGATGAGATCATTCAGGGAGTAAGTACAGATAATGGGAGAAGAGAAGGGGGCATGGAGTTGAGCTTAGGGCTCTGTTACAGAGAAAAATAGGAGGAGGATCCAGTTGAGGAAATTGGGAAAGGATAGTCAGGGAAGTAGGAGGACCACAGGGAGGGTGTGGAATCCCAGAAGCCAAGTGCAGAACGCATTTGTAGAAGGGAGACATTCATTGTGTCACTGCTGCTATGAGGTTGATAAAAATGAGCTCTGTGCCTAGACCATTGGATTTGCTTGATAGAGGTCATTAGGGACCTTGATAAATGGGGTTTCAGGGAAAAGCAGGATTAAACAATGGGTTCAAGAGAGACAGTGGGAGATAAAATGGTAACATAGATACTTCTGAGGGGTGTAATGGGGAACAGAGAACTGGAGCAGTAGCATGGGCAGGATGTGGGATAAAGCAGTTTTTGAAACAATAGGAGATGTTAGAACATATTTTTATGATGATGAAAATGAGGCAGAAGGGGAAAATTCGGTGATTTGGGAGATAAGGGATATTTACAGGAAGAAAATCCTTGGGTAGGTAAGAGGGCATTGGTTCCAGTCACAAGAGGAAGAGTGTGGCCTGGATAAGAGTCTAGGCAGTTAAAGCTTCAAATGGGGGTTAGAGGGCCAAGCCAAAAAGTACAGAAATTGCTACGTGCAAGGATAAGAAGTTTATCATCAGACTGATTCTATTTGTGTTGAATGAAATGAATAGATTCCAAACCTAGCATCTCCCCCTTTTGCCTTTATCCTCAACTCCCATTATGTGCCAACACTTGCCTTGTCGTTTCTCTTATAACCCACACCTTTCTTGCGATAACTGCAGGTGTCATGTGACCTTGGTGAATTCCCTCACTGCAACCCCTTCATCCCGCTGAAGATACTGCCCGAGGGCCTGGGGGAGTTCTGCCCTGATCACACTGAGGGGGATGGGTTTTATGAAGATGAGCCCTCTGCCTGGAGACCCCTTCCATGGGACATGCTCTCTCTGTTGCTGGCAGCTGCAGTGCTGTCTCAACTCCAAAGCAGAGACACCTCGCATGTCGACTTGTCACCTGCTGGCCTCTTGTGATGACACGGAGCTCCCCTGACAGCACTGCCAAATTATTTAGGCTTTTGTCTTTCTAGTGGTGCAAAGTCCTAGGCAATATTGAGAGGTTAGTGCCTTCCACAGGCTATCAGCTCTAGTTTGCCCTTTTTGCCATGAATGAAGTACTGGAAATTAGTTATAATTAGCTTGATACAATGATCATGGATATTATACTCTGTGACTCTCATTTAAGCTATAGTAGGCTTATTGTCTCATCTCATTCAGTACATGTGTATTTGTGTTTTTTTGTGTGTGTATGTATAGATATAGCTCTGTAGTATCTGACATTAGATGTTAGATGCTATTAGGTAATATCTGATGTTAGAGAAAGAAGAAACCTACTGTAGTAGACAGAATAATGTCCACATCCTAACTCCAAACCCTGTGAATATGTATGGTACCTTACATGGCAAAAGGGACTTTGAGATGAAGACATTTTCTTGGTTAATCTGAGTGGCCCAGTGTCATCACAAGGGCTCTTATAAGAGGGAGGCAGGAGTATCAGTCAGAGAAGGAGATGTGGTGGGTGACGGAAGCAGAGATCAGAGGGAAGCAGCTGTGAGCCAAGGAATGCAGGCAGCTTCTAGAAGCTGGGAAAGGGAAGGGACAGATTCTCCCCTGGAGCCTCTGGACGGAATTCAACCTCCCAGTGACACCAAGAATTTAGCTCCCTAAGACCCATTATGAACTTGTGACCTCCGGAAACATAAGTATGTGCTGTGTTAAGCCACTCTGTTTGGGGTAATTTGTTACATCAGCAGTGGGAAACTGATACACTACCCCAATCCTGTTTACCTAAAGGGATGACTTTTTTCTTAAATATCTGCCTTTTCCCTTGTCTTTTTCCCTTTGCAGGAGATAAGAGGTTAGGTGACCAGGCAGGAAGAGCAGGAAGAGAAAGTGAGCCTGGGAGCCAGAACAGCTGAGGGTCATTAGTGTGTGTCCAGGGCCAGCGCAGTGGGAGTGGGGCAGTGTGGGTGGGGCCTGTGGCTGGTGATTGAAGCCATCTGGCCAAGGAAACTTGGATGGAACAATTCTAAGGGAATTCTGCTTTGTTTGGATTTGGCTCTGTGCAACCCCCCTCAATCAGTAATTTGAATCTTTTTCACATAACCAGGCCAAGTCAACTGAAGCTTTAAATAGGAAATTATTCCACTCTGGAGAAATACTAATTTTCATAAGGAAAATGCCTTCAACCAAAATTAAAGAACTATTTTCAAATCCTTCCACTGCTTTCTAATTTCTCTATCAGTTAAATAGCTTCTCTCAGCACAGTATCTGAGTATATTACTATTTTATCATTATCAAAAAAGAGGCAGAGGAAATATTTATATATCCTGTTAGGTACTTCAGAGTAGTACAGCTATGAAAGGCACTGCACTGCTATGACATTGATTTTTTTTTTTTTTAAAGAAGGCCATTTATGGAAACGTAATAGGA